GGTAGACTCCCCAGAAAACCCTAAAACACTGTTAATTTACCTTTTGTTTTTTTTTTTTTTGTTTTTTTGCTCTGCCACTTGTATATATGTTTTTATATATGTTTTTTTTCCCTCATAATTTACCCACCCTCTCTAGGCATCCTAGACGTATACGACTTTCTTCTTTTAGTTGATTTTTGAAACTATTCAGCTGTTTTACTGGCAGTGCAGAAGAAGCCAAATAAAGCACATTCGTCCATAATAAAAATGTCTTATACAGCTCTAGGGTGTAAAAAATGTCTCTTGTAGGTAATCCATGCATTTTTGTAAAGAAAAATATCCATATTTACACTTTACAAATAGTTTTGTGTAACTTTTGGCAAGCGGCAGCTGTCGTCTTCTCCTTTTAAGGTACATTTAACACCATCAGCCAGACAACAACTGACTGTCTGTTCACTGCAGTCCTGCTTTTCTTTCAAATGTGCCTGCACTTCAAACTCAATATATAATACTAAATACCAATAAAAAAATTAATGAATAAAATTGACAAAATTTTCCTGAAAGAATAAAATCATATACATCTAGAATGCATCAAGGGAGAGTAAATTGGGATTAATTTATTTTTTGCAAAACCTAACCCTTTGACATTATATTCTTTGGTTCATGTTTATCGCAATAAGCAGCTTGCTACAATTACAATAAGCTACAGTATGCAGCATTATTTTAATTTATTTAGTTTATTCTGAACATCAAATTTTGGTGGTCAACATGCAGTTATGTTCATCAAGCAAAACTCCACCGACAGAAGAAAATTTGTCAAAAGATTTCCCTTGGGGACTCTATCTTTAACAATTGTACTGTTGAGTTCTGACCTTTAGTATGCTAGCTACACATCTTAACCTTTTCATCTTTTTATGGTGTTGTTAGATATGAAAAGCTTAAAATGTACAAAAACTATGAAAATAAGTTAAGGTGTAATTTTTGGTTTGACTATTTTTTTGGTTTGTTGTTGTGATGTTATACAGTACTTGCAGACTTGTATTGGTCTGTGTTAAGCTGCTTTGACACAATATACATTGTGAAAGGCACTTTAGAAATAAAAATGAATTTAATTAAATTGATGAATGTCAATTTTTAAATCCTAAATGTGTCCCTTTTTGAAAACAAGCCCCTTTTTGTTCTGCTGACAGCCCAGCACAAGTACCTTCTCTTGTCCCACCAAACTGCCTCAAATCCACGAGTCTGCAATGCAGCCATGATGACATTCACGTCATAGTTGCCATTACCCAGCATGTTTTTCTTGTGGGGTGTGACCAAAGTGCTAGGAGAGAGCCTGTAAAAAGAAAGAGGAAGCAGAAGTGTGATTTAAAACAAACAAACAAAAAAAAGTCCAACATTTGACCACTTCATTAACGATGCATCATCACTGAACTGACCTCTGGTAGATGTCCTGAAGTGCATCACGACTGAACGCCGCTCCATCCTGGAAGACATTGTTTAGCGCATGCAGAGCACACAACTCCCGATGCTGCTTTTCATGATAAATTGCAGGAGGTTGCAACGAGGTGGGGGGCGTTCCAGCATTCGGCCTGTCCTCCAGCTCGGACCCACGTCCACCTAAGGCTTCTCCTTTTTGCTTGCTGACCTTCCATGGCATACAACCCAACTCCTGAAAGCCCCCGACCCCCCTCCCCTTACCAGAACATGGAGTACTCCCCATTCCTGCTGCTATGTCACCACTATCATCTCCAAAGCAACCTTCTCAGCTGCTCGGGATGAGTGGCAAGGGGAGGGGAGGCTGCTAATGTGATGAAATGTGAGCCAGTGCACCTGAATTAGTGAAAAAAATTAAGAAATCCACAAATAGAGACAGATGTATCTTCTTAGAGCCAGAATCGTTTGTGTCCTCTTTCTGTGCTCATCATGTTGTTTTTATTGCACACAAAGACTCTCCGAGCACCATAGTAACCACTAGGGCAGAGAAGTTTTTTCCGTTTTGGCTGACATCAGGGTGGAAAGGACTTACAGCTTGACTGGGAATAAATGGGTCAGCAGTACGGGACCCTAGCAAATGCCATGGTAGACCACCGTCAGGTCTGAAATATGGAACAAACAACAAGAAGAAACTGCTTACTAGAAAATATTCCAATGTTGAACATTAATAAACATTTAACGGAAAGACAGGTCCAAACACGAAGGCTTTTGACACGCAGAAGGCTAATGTGCAGTACATTAGTGCCCAGGATTACTGCATTGGGAAGGGGTGTATAAAACTTCCTGCCAGCTGACTGGATGGGTGTGTATCACACATTACCGGCTAAAAATGACATGTAACACTTGGTACACGAGTTTAAAATATATCGAGACATGGCATAACTACTGCGTTCAAGCCAAACTGACACTCTGGCTACGTGCTACTCGTTTGATAGCAACGGACAAAACGACAGCTTTCAAAGTCTCCGTGTATCTACTCGTTCACAAGACATACCTCTGTGTGCGTACGATGTGTGACTGTCTTTACTGTGTTCGTTCCTCTGAGTTAGTGTTTTCGCGTCCACTCCTTGAGTTGTTTATTCCTTTGTCTCTTGTACTTTTTCCTTGCAGCTCTCTGGCTCAACGTGAGCATGCGCAAAACGTCATTGGCTTTCCGTCGGCTTGCGTCACGAGCAGGTTGCATCCCATGGGACTGTCAAACACGTCTCATGCCCCACATTAGGACATTAATAAGATATGTTTTTTTCTTAGGTATTTTGTTTGATCTATTCTGGGCTGTGTAAACAACCCGAACGTTTGTGTTTTACTGTTTTAGCTGAAAATAAGATCCAGACATCTACTGTACATGTTGACTTGCTGTAATGTTAAACATCTGTGGCGAGTGACCTACTGTTTGTTTTCATTCAGTGCTAATGAGAAAACAAATGACAGAGCCTGATCACTTCACTCCATATGTTCTAGAAACCAGCTAGAAAACATGGAGATTGAATCTGTATGTGTGCTGGCCTTGGTAGATTAACGTTACTTAATAACTGATTTGTTATTGATTAAAGATTGCATAGTGAAAACTGTAGTGAGGAACGTATCTATGCTACTAATTTGAGGTAAAGATCGTTTTTAGACTACTTTTTTGAAGCAATAGTTCCCCAAAATTTAAATTTACTTACCGTTTACTCACACTTAAGTAATTACACACTTTATGTATACAACATAACTTTCTTCTGTTAGACACAAAACAAGATATTCCGAAGAATGTTGGGAAAAAGCAGCCACTGACATCTATAGGAAGGACAAAATAACCAGAATTTATTTCAACATTCCTAAAAATATTTGTTTTTCACATCAACATTTATAGAAATTCAGAAAAATTTAGAAGCACTTAAATGTTGAGGAAGTTAGCATTTTGGAAATAACTATCCATGTAATTTTTTAAAAAAATCCAAACATCCCAAAATCCAACATAACATTAATATAAAAAAGACACTACACTTTCTGAAAAAAGTCTTGTCGTCAATCTCAGGTGTAAGAGCAACAAATAACAATATGATTTCTAGTTGATCGTTTGGAAAAGTGGCAAAAGGTAAATTTTTCCGATGTTGAACTGCTTTCCAATCATCACAAATGCTGCAGAAGACCTATTGGAACCCGCATGGACCCAAGATTCACACAGAAATCCATCAAATTTGGTGAAGGAAAAAATCCTGATTTGGGGTTACATTCAGCATAGGATCATGTGAGAGATGGCAATACTGTATCAACAGCCTGAAGTATCAAGACATTTGTGCGGCCCATTACATAACAAACCACAGGAGAGGGCAAATTCTTCAGAGATAGCACCCTCATATTTCAGCCTCCACATCAAAGTTCCTGAAAGCAAAAAAGGTCAAGGTGCTCCAGGATTGGCCACCCCAGTCACCATATATGAACATGATAGAGCATGCCTGGGGTAAGATGGAGGAAGCATTAAAGATGAATCCATAGAATCTTAATGATCTCAGGGAATCCTGCGAGAGCGCTTTCTTTGCCATTCCAGATGACTTTATTAATAAACTACTTGAGTCATTGCAGAGATGTATGAATGCAGTTTTCCAAGCTCATGGGTGTCATAAAAATATTTATTATTATTTCACTGCACCAGGACTTTATATTTCATACTGTACATTATTTCTGTTAAGTGACAACTTTTAAGCAAATTCAGACTTACTGTCCTAATTTTCACTGTGTGATTTTCATCATACAAACATTAAAATTGCATTAAATTGGCAAAATATGGTTAATTTAAGAACCACTTAAGCTTTTGAATTGATTAAAAGGTAACATTGCATAAAATCAAAAACGTAAAATAAACATTTATTGGAACACATAAAATTGACACAAATAAGAACATATTTTAGATATAGATATTTTCTACAATGTGACCATGAACTAATTTACTGAACTTGTTGTTTATGTATTAAAATACTCACTTTTTTATTAAGTATTTTTATTTCAAAAGAAAATCGATTAGGATTAATTCACAGGAACTGTGTAAATATGTAATACATAAAACGTTTACTAATTAGATTATGAGCATTTTAAAATACACTAAAATATAATGCATATATCTGTCATGTATTAAAATATATCAATGCAAATGTTGAAGAAATAAAGTGAAATAATGCCAATGAATATCATCAAAGCTACAAATTTCAAGCATTTATTGAATCTATGACAACAGTCACAATGCTGAACAGAATTATGTGACACCAGGCAAGACAGAATGTGAGAATGATATTCGCTTAAAAGATGTATTGTAAAACATACCAACTATTCTGCTTTTATCGTTTAAACAAGCATGTGATTAAGGCGACAAGCAATGCCTTAATAACATTGGCTCATTTAGAGAGCTGCATGGTCAGGGCATCGATAAGCTCCTGTTTCTTGGTTCCTGTTGTACGTATATTAAACTGTTTGCATGCATCTTTTAGTACAGGCACTGTCAGTTTTCCCAAAGTGCCTTTTGCGACATGAATTTTCAGCTCTTCTTCGGAAATCTCAACTTTGGCCTTCTTTTCAGCAGCACCACCACCAGATTCAGCTGTCAGAAAATTTTTTAGTCAAGAGTCTGTTAATGACAACTTTAAAATGACTGTTAAAAGGTGTAAAAGTAATTATTAGTTATTCACACAGCATTCCTAATCACATTGTGTTCCTTCCTGAGTTGCATAGTTTGTCTAGTTTTGTTAATGAGGTTTTGCTCTTGCACACTGATTCATAGCTGAAAAGCCAATCAGAGCACTTTCTTTCATCAATGGACAACAGCAATTCTATGTAATGAATCAGGCAAACTATCTACTAAAGCAAGTCTAGCTAGAAGCAGCATGGGGAACACACTAAACAAACTAGCCTGACAGACTGATGGCCTGTCACTGACCAATGGCTGACTGTTGACTTGGTGCGTCCCAGACTTAAAAAAAAAAATTAAAATAGCATAATCTGAAATCTTACCAGGTTTGCGTTTAGCTGCAGGTTTCCCTTCTGGGTTATAATCAGGAGGATAGACCAAATCTTTGAACTCTTGAACCAGCGGACCAAGCCGATCGTCCATCATTTTTACCTTTGGCACTGAAGAAACATAAAGAATCTAAGACAGCAATAGGATAAAAAAAATACTAATTTTTCCCTTTAAACAACAAGAAATACTTGTCAAATCCTCAATGGGTTCAGGTGAAAGCATATCCAGAGCCAAAGCCTCCAGATTACTGTAGTGCTGTTGCAGCACTGGGTTTTCAAATGCATCACTCCTGTAAATACAGAGCATGACTTATAGATGAATCACCAATAAACAGCCTATAGTTTGTTTGATTGGTATAAAACCACAAACCTGTATTTAAAGCGGAGCTTGTGCACGATCTCTTTCATTTTGTCTACCTGCTCATCCGAGGCTGTGGGACCAACGTGAGGGTCCACAGTGCGTATGTCATCAGCAAAGGGAAGATAAATCACATGGAAGCCTGGAAAAAAAGAAAGATTTGATACTACTATTTGATATTAAAATAAATATTGCATATTAGTAATAATGACAGAAGTATTAGAATACATTTTAAAACTGTTCAAACAAATAAACAAGTTTTTTTTTCAAGATAAATTTAGCACTAAAACATGAGTTTAAATAGGCATAACACTTTGGATTGCTGTTACCTGGAGGTGTTGCCTGGGTTTGACTCTGATCCAGTTCTTCTCTCTGGGGCACTAGTGCCACAAACCGAGGTGGAGTGTTACGACGAGGGATGTATTTGCACAATGCAAATACATTTTTTTCACAGCACTTCAAAAGCAGAGCTGTAAACATACAGGAGCTTCCTGTAGTAAACGAGAGAAGCAAAGAGAGTCACATTAGTTTTGTGAAATATGGCAAAAACCATATTTTAAGAAATCATCTGGGTTGATCTGAAAGAGGTATTAAAGGTCATGTGAAGTGCTATGAAATGTGCTTTTTTATTCGAGGTTTGACATAATCAAAGAATGGGACAGTGTAGCCCCTCCCCTTTTAAAAAAAAGTCAATAGCATTTTGTTCTATCCCCACTCTGCCATTGAGAGTGGTATGGCACAAGCACATCAAATGAGAAGCGTTTTGAAAGGGGGCAGGGGATGTCAGGTACTAGAGACCATTTGATTGGTATTAACTGGTAGAGAAATAGGTGAAATGAATAAAACCATTCATCCGGAAGTGACAAACTACAAGCTTTACAGGCTTATATCGGCTTTATATCTCCCAAAAGTGAATTTTGTCACTGTTCTGGAGCGCTTTAGCTTTTAGATAGCCTAAAAACTAACAATACAGATTAAAAAAGAAATATATATATATATATATATATATATATATATATATATATATATATATATATATATATATTTATTTATTTCATTAGACCTTAAATGTCTCAACAAATGAATGACAGTAACAAATGAAAACCTGCCTGATATCTGCTCCTCCTCAGGGTATATGAAAAGAGCAGGTCGTAAATGATGGTGCAGTTTGAGGCGATCTATAGGCTTAAATCCAATCAGTACCAATCCTGGATCATCAAACTTCTTTATCTCATCCACCTCATCCTTTTCCATCACAATCTGCTTCTGCCCATAAACCTTCATAAGCAAGTTAATTTAACAAGTTACTGTTAAATTAGAGGCACATTTAGCAATTTAAAATGTTGTTATAGTAATGATTTTGTTTCGAGGTGCTTTACCTGTGCCCTCTTTGTATCATTTGGTAATAAAATGCCACCAGTTTGAGTGTGGAAGAGACGGGATTTAGTCCGTACAGGTTCATTATTATCTCTGTAAAGTTTGACAGCAGAAGGCTTCATAGCAGTCCTGGCCAACACGTATACGCCAACAGCCAGATCGACACCTTCTCCAAGGGAGAACGTTAACCTTGAAAACACATTAACAGAGGTATAAATTACTGAATGTTTTTTAATGAGTTGTTGTATGAACTGTATACGGAAACAAAAAACAAAACAAAAACAAACTACAGAATAATATTGTTTGACTGGAATTTAGGTATGGGTCGGTATAAGACTGTGACAATATGATAACCTTAAATAAAAATATCAAAGCTTAAAAAAAGATTACTATTTCTAAAATATGTTTTTAAAATAACTTTTTGTCATTACTTTTTCACCTATTGAACACAACATATTTTGTTAAAAATATATTTTGTAACAGTAGCTTTTGATGTGGTGAGCCCTTCTCTGCTGGAGATACTGTTGCCCTAAAAAACTAAATAAAATAGATAGATAAATAGATAAATAAAATAGTAAAAAGCTGTACTTTACATATACCGTATATGTATAAGCTTTTCACTCTAAAAAGCTAAAGCTTAGCTTTTCAATCATCATAGCACACGATCTGCTGATGATTTGACAATAAAAGTGATTTAATAACAGAAGATTCTGGCGTTTTTAAAACCTTGACATTTCAAGACAGCGGTAAACCTTGAAACCGGTTATCATGCCAGGACTACTGGAATTATAAAGGCTTTATTACACAGTAAATACTTCTGGAATCTCAAGATATGTTTTTTTTGCAAAGTGACTGACAATAAACAATTGTCATTGTTGTGTAGATCCTAAATATTGCAGAATGGAAAAATAAATGATTGAAAATATATAAAAATTAGACTTTTCTTTATCTTCTTGTGAAATGCCATTTAAACTGTTTTTAATACAAAACAGCGTATCCCTGCAATAATGTGCATGTCCACAACACTATATACTACAATTAGACATGCAAGTGGAAAATTACCAAACATTTGCAGAGTATTTACCTGCATTGAGCTCTTTTCTTTAACTCTTTTGCTCTGACTCTCTTCTGCAGGTCCTCCAGTTTCCTGCAGGGCTCAATCTGAAGGCCGAGATCACTTTCATCTTCTGGAGGACTTACAATATCGCAAAAGAACAGTGAAACATCAAACCCTCCAGGCTTTGAGAGGTGCATCAAGTCAATGGCTACACCTGAAGAACACACAGAACAGTTTATCATTTATTCACAGTTAAAACAAAAAGAAATGTTTTATTTTCCTCTTAATATCCTTACCTGTCTCTTTTAGGTCAGCAGCCTTTGTACGAGCCTGTCTGTCTTTTGCACTGTCTCCTCCATGAGGCTCATCCCTGCATGTGAATATCATGAGGCGCTTGTGTGACAGTCGCAACTTGATGTCACTGTAAAGGTTGGAACAGCACCACAGAGCCTCTCCGAGAGAAGTTTCCCCACTGCCCATGGTCTTTTCAGCAAACTGACCACCTTTATCACCTTTCAGTTTATCAATATCCTGTACACGTTTTGCTCCTGAGAAGCGAATCAGTATATGAGGTAGATTCACCATCAAAAATGTAGTCTAAGTTGAATAAATAGTTAATTACTGACCAGGGGACTCCAAGTCGTGGTAGACGTAAACATGCTTGAAGGAGTTTCTGGGGTTCTTGCTCTGCTCAGTCCCATAAAACACCAAAGCAACCAGGTCTCTGTCACTGCTTATGATCTTACTAGTGTACACACTGCGCACACACTAGACACAAAGACAAATATATTTATTAGGCATGTATGGGAATACAATATTGTAGCAACATATGAATACAGTTAAACTTTTTAGGCTCACCTGCATAGTCATGTCAAAATTTGATGGCTCTCCATTCTCCCCTTTGATGAACATCTCTTTGGATGCATCAACCAAAAACACCAAGCTGTCACGGCCGCTGCTTTTGTAATCGCCTTTTAATTAAAAAGGTACACGTTTAATCAGATGTTCGTTTGATCTATGCACGTTTAATGAAGAACAAACGTTTATTTCATACGGGTTCAATAAATCAATTAAGATGGCTAGGCTAACCTCCAGACTCTTCTTCATCCTGCTCATCCACATCGTCTTCGTTTGGAAAGTAATTTCCCCAGTTCGCCATTAAAGTTACTCTTAGTTTTACCTTAGATTCGAGTCAGAGTTACTTTCACAAACAGTTTAAGTAAAACAAATCAAAATGTATTACACTAACTATAAACCACTCTTCTCTTTTGCGCTAGCTAGAGAACTTTGTATCCCTTCACGACCGTGCGTGCATGCAACCAGTCAATGCGCCATAAGTTGAGTGACAGCTCCACGATCCTATCAGAGACGACTTTTGAAAGGCACTCACCAATTGGGACACAGGAGCAAAGTGACTGGTCAATCCAAATACGCGGAAGTAAACAGAACAATTTCACACAGTAAAGACAGGATTTGATATAACTAAAACATATATATAACTAGTAAACGTGAACGAATAGCTTTCGGATTTGTTATGTATGGTTTGAAGCGATTCCCAAAACATTTCGAACTTCATGAATCGGATTCTCACCCTCAATTTTGTCTCGAGTGAACCGAAAACATTCCCCCGCGAACCTGAACGTTTAATAGATGAACATCTGGAGTAAAATGGAAGCGAGATGGTCCTGGTTAATTTTTAATCCCTGGTTAATCCAGATCTAGTGATTAAGAACTGCGCATGACTGCAAACAAACTCTTTAATTCACAAAACAGCAACACTCATCATCTATTTCTTCAATTATACCCCCAGTTTCAAAAACAATGTTTAAGACTAGTAAAGATTAAATTGCAAGATTGAACTGTCTCAACTCAAAATAACTTGCAGTAAGATGTCTTAAAATACACGTGTCATTTTTTTTCTCCAGGTGCACAGCAGTTATTTAATAAAATATTTTTCTAAGGCCATTTTTTAAATATTTGGCTTAAATAGACTTATTTAACTAAGGCCTAGTCCTCGCTTAATCTAAGCCCTGTTTGTGAAACTGTGCCTAAAAGTTTTAGTCCATGTCACCAGAATTGACTGAATCTCGTTTTTGATCCGATTTATTGAAAAGAACCGTTCAAACGAATTAGCTTCAGGCATTCGGCTCACCGGTTGATTCGGCTAGTAAGTGTAAACACCGTCATGCTTGTTTTCATAAAGTTCGCCATCTAGCGTTGTGGATGTTATTAGTTTTACAGATGTTGGTAATATATCTGCGCTACAATTGGTCGAGCCCCAGTGAATAAGCACATTTGTCATAACCGGTGTCCAAATATCTCGAGTCACTGTTGCCAAACGAATGCTGAACACCGCGTTGGACCTGTCAAACTTTCGTGGTTAGGATAATTTGTTAAAATACTTTGTGTTCGTTTTATGGATGTGTGATAATGAGACTTTGAGACACCAAAACAGTGAAGTCTGCCTTTTTCGAGTCGAAAACTCAAGATAGATTTACGTTTGTTTACAGTAGCGTTGCGTTTTTGTTTGTAAACAACACTTTGTTCTGAATCAGTTGCCATGGCTAATGGAAGTTCTTACACCGTTCAGCTGTACGTTTATGACCTGTCAAAAGGACTGGCCCGTCAGCTGAGCCCCATGATGTTAGGTGAGTTCTCCAACTATTAGCTAATGTTTATTCTGGGAAGTTGGTTAAGGATGCTTCTAGAATAGCTCATGTTTTGTGTCACTAAAAAGTATTTATACACTGTAGAGCACAAATATGTATTTTCCCTATTGAAATATGCAAATAAATCATCGAAAAACTTTGCTTTTTTACATCTAAACTGACAGGAAAGACAGTCGAGGGAATATGGTGAGTACTTTTCTTCTTCTGTTTGTTGCACGTTATATAAACGAAAGCAATAGTTCATCTAAAAGTGAACATACTATAACCATTTATTTTCTTCTGTTAAAAAATATATTTGTAATAATTTGTTAACACTTTAAACTAACCAATGACTTGCATTTCATTTAGCATTTTTTATTAACAAAAAGAATCAGAATTATACAGTAATATACAAAAATGCATATGCCAGAGTGTACATACATTCAATAATTAAAAATGTTTTATTCCTGAAGAATATTATAAGTCTTCCTTGCTTTTTTATTGCAATGTTCTCCAAACTTGTGCAGTAGTCCTTAGTCCCTTAATGAAAATGAACTAAATTTGGCTTTGATCCAGTCCATTTTTTATGTATACAAAACTTTCCAAAAATAGTAAAAAGATGTACAAGGAATGTACATTTGTTACAAATATTGACATAATAAATGCAAATATCAAAATCTTGTTGTTATTTGAATATAATATTGGTTTTCCTTCTAGGAAAAATTTCCATATCCATCCAAAAATTCCTTGAGTATATACAAATAAGATACAATAGATTCTTTTTCTATAGAACAAAAATCACAGGAATAGTCAATATCCAAATAAAACCTCTCTAAAACCTCTTTCACAAGAAGCATTTTTTGTGTCCAACTTTGCCGTCCAACTATGGAAGTCAACGGCGGCCATCATTCTTCAGCATTTGTAACAACCTGAGAGAGTAAATTTAAATTTCTTCATGAACTATTGCTTTAAATACGCATTGGTTCCAATGCTTGTGTTTTTTAATTATAATACTAATAATAATACTAATAATAATAATAAATTAATTCAACTGTCTCTATTTGAATGTTTCTTAATGAAGGCACACTGGAATAGTGGCTTACGGGGAAGAGTTTTTCTTTGGAGGAGGAGGTGTTACAAGCTGCTATCCTGTAAGAAATGACCAATGGATTTTTTATTCATAAACTCAGTGTGCAACCCAGTTTATTTTTTAAGCATATGAAATAGAAACTTTAGGTATTTTACGGATGTCAAATAATGTTGTATTAATTGTACTTTCATGTTTTAGGGTTGTACTATTCTTGGTATGCCTGATTCCACAGTGGACCTAGGAAACACAGAAGTTCCTCGGGACCTTTTTCAGGAATATCTGTCTTCGCTCGGGGAGTCCACTTATAGGTCAGTATAGTTCTGTTGTTTGCATTTAACAGGAAATTGCCATGAGATATTTTTACTATTAAAAGTAGAGATATTTGTGAAAGCTGTCATCATTTTGCAGTTCCATTTTCTGCCACTACCACCACAACACAAACGCCACCATTTATATGCGCAAATCTGTTTTTCCTCCCCTTCCACAGACCTGAAAAATACCACCTTTTTGAACACAACTGTAACACCTTCAGCGCTGAAGTTGCGCAGTTTTTAACAGGAAAAAAGATTCCCTCATACATCACGGATCTTCCATCTGAAGTGCTCTCTACGTATGATGGCAAACAAATACACTTTTAACACTATTTGTAATATTACAATTATTAACTGTTTTTGTTTTTTCCCCTTCACTCCACAGACCTTTTGGACAAGCGCTCCGTCCTCTTCTGGATTCAATCACCGTCACTCCATCCGGGAACAATGGCATGAATGGATATGGCCAGAGGTAGAAGATCTGGCTGCATCTAAGAATGTATTAATACAGCAGTCATGAAGAGTCACATTGTGCCTTTCAAGATCAAAAATAGCTTTTATATAAAGCAGGGCTTTCAGTTTCTCTGCTCTGCCTTTTCATAAAGTGATACATTTTCACTCTCTTTTTTTATGCTATCTTCAGTGATCTGCTGTGTAGACAGAGGGACCAATTAATCTGTATTGTTGACTCTTTAGAATAGAATATACAAATCCACTGGGACAAACAACCAGTGGATAGGAAATGTGAAAGAGGACATTTTTACCAGGACTGCAAATGAATTTTAAAATAAACAAAATCATGTGGTATAATTGGATAGAACACCCAAAAATGAACATTCTGTCTGTTACGCATTTTCTGAGTTCATGTTAAGCACAAATAAAGATATACTGAGGAATGTTGGAAAGTAGCAGCCATTGACTTTTTTTGTTCCCACTATGAATGTCATTTCCAACATTCTTCAGAATATGTTGTTTTGGGTTCAACGGATGTCAGAAATTCATAAATGTTTAAAGTCCGCATGAAACGGAAGCTGTGACAGCTTTTTTTTTTTTATATATATATATTGTGATGCAGCCAGTTCCTAGAGAAACAAAATATTAAATGAGAAAACAGTGGGCGTGGCTTGTTTTTCTACTGCAAGCTGATTTGATGTAATAAAGTAGGCATTTCATTCAGAAAGATTAGGAAAAAGGTTTGGGGAGAATTTTTACAACCTAACAGACACCTCCTCCACACCATTTCTGTTTGTTGTCAAAACCGACAGTTTGGAGGGGTGTGGTAAAATTTTAACCATGCCCAAAAAAATCAAAATCATGTAGTCTGAGAATTTAACAGAAAACAAAAAACAGGAAGTGCATTTTTAGATTTAAAAGTTAGATTACAAGAGCAAACTATTTGATGACATTGACATACACAGATTAATTGTTCAGCACAAAACTGGCAATGTGAGCTAACAAAATCATATGGTTAGTTTTGATTTCATTTATACTTTAAAACCACTTGAGCGAGTAATTGTGAAGAAATGTACATTTTTGGGTCAACTATCCCTTTAAGCCTGTTAGAATGCAGTTAGACACCCATATATGTCAGGCTAAGAGTGTAGAAAAATCCCTGTGTGGGATTTAGTTTAAGTTAATTATAGCAAGTCATTACATTAAGTTATAATTACAAAAGCACACTTGCTGCTATCTAAAAGAAAGCTGTTTCACTAGGAAATGGTTTACAGTTGTAGTGGGATTCCCCTCATTGGTCTGCAGGTGTCTCTGTCCTACCTCAACATGATTTGTAACTTCAGATGCTTTCAGAAAAATAGATGAGAATGAGGTTTCAGACTAATACAAATATGCTATTGTGATTAATACTCACATGATGAGTGTAATCTTATTAAAAATGCAGACAATTCTTACTGTTAGATTAAGTGGGTAACTATTTTTTTTATATTTCTAACTTGTCTTTTAATGTTTAATCAGTTTTTTTTGTATTTAATGCTAATATTTTAGACTATGAATACTAACGTTCATCTCAAAATGAAAATTCTCTTATAGTTTACTCAAACTTCTGTCTTTCAAAATCTATAAGATATTTGAGACTTTTTTTGGTTAAAAGAGTACATAATGAATGGGGTCTGGCAGTTTAATACACGTTTTCTGAAAGACTTAATCATTTTCTATAATGAATGGATATCATTTAGGTTTTTTAATCACAAATGTTAATGGGTGTGAATAAACAATAAAAGAATTAAAACATTTTGGTGAATTAACATTTTTATCAACAGCATAGTGCCTTAATTATAACTTCTTGTTTAATATATTTAAGGGGACAAATGACATATACAGCAAGCACAATATAATGTCACAAATATGAAGTTAACCAATATTTTATAAACTATGACAAGCAAAGGACCTAGTAGGACTTTTTTGTATTTCTTTTTCAGTTTAGTCATTATGAGCAAATTACAGTGCCATGATAAAAAGAGACAAATGTACAATTTTTATTAAAAAGTTAAAAATGTGTGAATTTTATATATAAAATACATTTTAGTCTTAATCTCACTGTCTATGGTCTTCTCATGGTCTATTTAGCAAGTTCATATTTAGCTGTCTGAGGTCTGAGCTATACTGTTGGTAATAACTTGAGCTCTTAATACCTTTCTGCCTCATATATGTATTTATGTGTATTAAATATAATCTTTTCCCTATTTGAAAAACAAATTAAAACATGACAGTATAAAGAAGTAGTTTTGTTTTTAATTGTCAAGTTGGTTTGGTAATGTGTATTGCTTAGCTTAATAAATGTTATTGACAATATATTCAGGGCTAAATGTTCCCATGGGTATCTGAAT